ATGGCAGCTTGATTTGTTTTCTTGCACTTCTTCCTTGTTTCTTTGTGCTGGTACGCTGTCTCCGAGAGGCAAATTTTGCTACTTTTTTTGCGGGAGGTTTAGTTGGACTAGACAAACATCTCTTTCAAAGGGTTTCTTTTATTACTTCCATGACTCTACCACTGAATTATATTTTCGTTTTGCTACTCGCCAATGTCGATGTTATTCCAAAACAAAAACAACTAAGTATTGTCTAAAACACGAAAGAAAATCTCATCCATGGCAAAACTAAAAGACAGTAGATCGTGCTTCATAACTAGATGACGTGTATTTTATAAATGCGTGCAGCTCGTGCAAGGTGAAATTATGCTAATTTCAATCACCATCATCCTTCTTTTTAATTTAGAAAAAAACATCTCATACGTCTTTCTGTTTCTTCGAAACTTCAAAGTTAGTTTCCCCTTAGTTTTTACTGTTTACCTTCTTTTGTTTTAGAGAGAAAAACGGAGAAAAAACCTTACAACTAACCTCAATAAATTTTGTTTACATGCGGTTGCCGGATTTGCAACGCATTGCGCGAATCGCCATGGCGCATTGCATCCGACAAGCAAAGTTTGAAGAAGTACAACGCCACTATATCAATATATATCAATCTAATTTTTTGTTATGTTATAAAAAATTTATCCTCCTTTAACATATGTAAAAATTGAGGTTAAGAAGTGTTAAGCTTTTGCAAACGAAACGGCGAAAGACGATTAGGTGATATTTAGTGGAAGGACGAGGTATTCAACACTTTCAAATTAAACTCAAATTTTGGCATTATACGACCAACAAGTTTGACTTATAGACGTACAGACACAAACACATGAAACTGTTTATTGATATTGTTATGAAACGAATTTATCTATTTAACATTGTAGCCTGAAATTACAGAAAGAAAATAGGATTTCCGGTTTGCAAAAAGGAAAATTTCGCCGGCCTTCAAGCGCACCGGAAGCGCGGAAAGAGCGCTCGTGCCAGTCCTACTCCGCATCACACATTAAATGAAGAGCGGAGCGCTCGTTTCACCGCCCAACCTTTATCCGCCCTGGTTCTTGCTGGCAATACACCAGGATAAGTTTCAATTCTAATGACTTAATTACAAATACGTTTTCATAGTACCGTATCATTCGCGCTTACATATATGATCGGACTGTTGCATAATACAACGCACAACTGTTCTTTTCAAACAGCTAAGACAATTAGTTTAGCCGGATTATTAAACTCGAACAAAAGTTGTTTACGACTTTCAGAGTACAGTCGAACCTCTCTAATACGGACACCGAAGGGACAGAGCCGAGTGTCCACTCCGTATTAGAGAGGTGTCCGTTTAAAAGAGGGTCAGTATGATGACGTTCGTATTTTTATGACTCCACTTACAGTTTTAAGTAGTCAGTAGCTAAAACCAGGCTCACACTCGTCTTTAAACTGCATTTAAATTTATTAATTCACAGTACAAAGACACTGTCTTTCAGTAGCACAGTCGTAGACAAATCACTGTTTTAAAACTAAACGAGCTACAGCGCAATGCTGCATGTTAAAAGTTGTTAACGTAAAGCACAATTCTGAAAGCGTCTTTCGTTATTTTGCAAGTGCAGTAAACAGAGTAACTAGAGTACAAAATGTAATAGGAAAGATCTTTATGCTATCTGTAGTTATTCAAGCCTTGAAAGGAGGTTATGTTCCTCTGTACACCTTTCGCAAATTTTTGTTTGATGTACAGCGACTGGGCTTTTGAAATCACCTTGCATAGCTCATAAGCGAGACTAGCCTGGATTCACACTGTGCAGATTCAGTGTCAGATTTAGTGTCCGTAATAAAGAGGTTAAATTTATATGAATTTACTCTCTGGGGCTGTCCGTTGTCCGTATTAGAGAGAGTCCGTATTACGGATTTTTTTTTTAAGAAAATATATGAGAATTTTATCGGGACATTGGAAACTGTCCGTATTAGAGAGGTGTCGGTACCGAGAGGTAAATACAATACAATTTAGGATATGTTTTTAAGTTAATTGTATCAGGAAATTGTTCTTTTTTGAAACGGCAACACTAAACAACAAAACGAAATCAAAGGCTACTGTAAGCCAGCTCATGAATGAATTCGATAAGTGTAGAAAAGACAGTTCAATAAGTCAACAAGACCCTCATAGTGGGAGTACATTGGTTTGTCGGCGTACCTGACAATTTGTTAGACGGAGTCAGGGCTGTGTATTACTAACTTCTACCAATGAACAAAAAGAGGCAAGTTAGCCTTTTGAAACAAGAAATGATGACGTGACTAGTTTGGTCTAACCGGGTCAACTTTTGGCGTTTTAAAATGCTGTTAAAAAGCACTATGGCAAATTATTAAGTTTTAGTTTTGTTTCTGTCTGGTATGGCATTATTAGCTGCTATATGACAGTCAACAATTTTGGCAATAATTTGCACTTTTAATTTTCAATAGCTGCTCCCGGCTTATTGTTGATTCAAGATTTCCATATGTTTCTTCGTTCCTAGATTTTTTCTAGTTTTCGTAAGACTGTCGGAATTAGAGCTTTAGCCAAAACGCTTGAAAAACGTAAGTTTTTAAAAAGAATACCAGGTCGATGGTTAGACATTAAGACTTGATCCTAATTGTTCGCTTCAATAATAAACATGCTCGTTTTCGTATATCTCTGGCACGTCTGATGCATTACTCGCTCATTTTTGGACACCACCACGCTTGGGAAGATTTTCTTGTTCTGCAAAACTTGTGCATCAAAGTTCATCGTTGGCCGCAACCTTTTTCACAGAGTCCTTCTCTCTTTCTCTTTCTCTCTTCTGTCCTTCTCTCGAGGATTAGAAAGTGCTCTTGGAACGAATTTGCGCTAATTGTTAAATCTAATGACGTCATATCTGGTACGAGGGCTGCGGCTTCCAATGCAATGAGGGCGTTTCAGGAGTGAACAGTGTTGTATATGGTGTTAAGCTGACCTTACCAAGAAAATTTTATCAGATATGTATTGTACAGTCTTCTGAGAACAATGAGGCTGAAATCTAAAGTCTTGATTTTCTCTTTTTAAAATAGTACATATAACGTATATAACTTCTTTGTAAACTTTGTATTTGAGGCATTTCCTTTTTCTTATCTTTAAGATTGTTTTTCGTGCATCCTTCGTCCCGTTTGTCAAGATGTTTATTGACCAGTTTGGCTACTGGGCACCGTGTATAACTGCTGTTTATCATGTCAGGTAAGGTACAACCAAGTGATCTGCAAGGGGTATATCCAGTCTTCCTCGGAAATCCGGCGCCATCTTGAAATGCATTACAGAGCAAAGCGGTCAGCACCAGGTCCCATCAGCCTAAACCCTTTGGTTACCTTATGAAGTTTACAAATTGTAGTATTCTTTATTGCTTCTACACTGCACTTAGATGAGATTCTGCTCAGCAAATGCTCATCAAAGTGTATGTCCCTTAAATTTTTAAGGAAAAAATCATTTCGAAGAGCGTAAGTGGGTATCACCTTACCACTAGGCCACTGAGGTGACTTGATTTGAACTTATATAGCAACACTCCTAATCCTCAATAGAAGCTAACCGTTTCGAGTCAGTGCTTAACCCAAATCACTATTTTCAGTGCTTAACCCTAATCAGTATTGCTTAATCCTAATCACTACAACCGAAGCGATAAGGAATCCTATGTTGTGTAAACTTCATGAGGTGTCCGAGGTGGTTTAAAGCGATGGGATCTAATGCTAACCGAGCAGAGCAGAGGCTCCCTCATTTTCGAAGTTTTGAAATCGACACTCACATGTAGATAATTAAGGACTGCTATTATAATGTTAAACCGTGTTTAGTGTTGTTAACTCTTCATTTAGCTTTGAGTGTATTGTAGGGGTTATTATGTGGAGTTTCTGAAATGTACTGCATTACATAAAGTTCCAAATAGTGCCACATTATTAATGATTGTTCTCTATATATTACTCGCTGTATATGCCCTAGTCTGCCTGACTTAGCATGACCTAACCCCGTTTTAAACGCCTTGGGTAAAGCAGAACTGTAGGACCTTCAGTCATTTTTTTAAAAATGCGAGTAGAATAATGAGCACCCAGAGCGTTCTCCCGCGCTTTAGGTTTTCAAAAGGCAACCACACAGATTTTATATGCGCCAATACTAAACATTTTCAGAGAAATAATAAATTATCGAAAAAAAAATTGGTGTTGATTGATTACTGCGGGAATTCTTTTTCAGTATGGGTGTTATGGAAGGCCTTACTTATAATGAAACTATGGACAGACTCAAGACACTTTACTGGCCAACACTAAAGGCATGCTGGATGATATGGCCCGCAGTCATGGTAAGTGAAATAAGCATCAAGATTACCGGGCCTGGGGCCCGTTTCTCGAAAGTCCTGGTAACTTTTCGGGCCCGAAATCAAATATTAAAATGGAAATATAAAGAATAAGAGCGCGGGTCCCGGATAGCAAACTACTCCAGTTTGTTTCATTAACTGATAGTTTTATCATGTTAGATGCAAAACTATTGAAACCTCGATCTTTAATGTAAACGGCAACAACTTACCAGGCCCGTTAATTATCGGGACTTTCGAGAAACGAGCCCCTGGGTTGTAATTCGCCTTCGAGTTTGCGCACGAGACTTGGTCGGTGTTTTGTCGAGTTGTATTTTGGAACTGTTTTGGGGCATCCAGTGCTTCGTCTGTAATATAGAGGAGAAGTGTGACGTCACGTTACTATGGTAACAAAATTTCTGGATCACAACAGTAGGGACCTTAAGCAACGACGACGGCGACGGCAACGAGAACGGCTAAAAAAGCAATAGGTTTACATTACCAAAACAACAACTTTGCACGTGCATCACACTTTTCTGTGCTTATTAAGAATGGATTGATGTTATGTTGAATGGACTATGGAACTGTTTTGGGGACGAAATTATAATCGTGTTAGCCAATAGAGAGGAGAAGTTGTTACGTCACGTTGCTATGGTAGCAAAATTTCTGGATGACAACAAACCGAAAACGTCACTCAAAAAGTGAAGTTGCACTGTTTCAAACTTCATCGAACTTATTCAGTTTCATTTCATTTGTCAAATGTTGGGGAAATTTCTGGGGTTAAATCCGAAAGGACCGTATCTAAGTTTAGAAAAAGAAAAAGGAAATCGTTGTGCTGTGTGTTCACGTCCTCCTTTAAGCCGATGCGTGAAATTAGAAGGTTTCATGTCGCAGTCGTGGAACGACGGCTAAGAAACTAAATTTTACGATTTCGAGAGCCATTGTAGCTCTAAGAGTCTATGTACAGTCGCCTGTTCGACTTTGTTGGACGGCAGTTGTATCGCCAAGAGTTACTAGTTGTGTGAAGCTGTGCGCAAAGTGATAATACCTTGCAAATTGTTGTTTTGGTGAACTAAGGAACGTGTAAAATGTTGATGACGGGCATTGACGGCAGTTTTGTTCTCGTTATTCCTTTTTCATTGGGGAACACTGGAGATTTATTTCCGAAAGCAATTAAAAAAGAGGTCAATTCTGGCTTTTTGATTTTTTTTTTGTTTCAACCCGTCGACAAAATGAGATTGGGAGCGGGTGCTTTAAAGGTATAAGAACCTGTAGCGCAAATGCAGCATCGCCTTGAAGGTAACCATGACAACCAAGGGAGTGCAAACCACCCAGCATATGTGCATATTTTCCACGACTCCATTGTCTCGCAATTCCCTGAAAAGAATTGAGCACAAACTGAACGAAATATAGAAATATGACCAGAAAGCCCCGAGTCATGTTAGAATTTTAACATATTGAACGTGCGCTATTTAGCCACATTAAATTTGGGAAATACTTAATAGTCATTTCCAGGTTTTCCTCATTGATATTTTTCTAATTATCTCTGCAGATTGTTAATTTTAGGTTCATACCAGTTGCTCACCAGCTTAACTTTTGTCTGGCTGTCAGTTTGGTTTGGGCGACAATTTTGAGTGTCATACGAGGCTCCGAAGCAAGCCATGTTAAGGAAATTGAATCTATAGACACCATATCTATAACAAACTACTCTGTAGAAGCGACTCAGCAGTGACCATGGAGCGATGGTCCTTGGAGGAGGAAGGGGAAAAAATCGGTTGCGCAAATTCTCGCGGCGGTCTTCAATTGTCCCACTCCTACTGTCTCGCTGCTGGCTCTCTGGGGATGAGGCTAGCCATTCTACAATTCATGGTGTCTCCTTATGAAGCCAACTGTTCTGCGTGCGTACTTCCAAGTGCCTGCTACGCAGGCTAGTAAGGAAGAGAATTTTATTGTAAATAAGACAGATTGATCATTCTTGAAAACGAAAATGCAAATAAAATCTACGTTCTATGAGGCCAGTCTCTATTTTGTTTTCTCTCTATATAAGTACTGCTAATATTCGGCCGAATCAGGTAAGCTATAGTCATAGTTTAGCCACGTCCACATTTTTTTCACGTCCGGACATTTTTCTTTACCCGGATTCTTGTGGACGGAGCCTTTAAACTTATCTGGGGCCAATTTAATGAAACTTTTACAAGTGTAATTTACAAGTGTAGCCATTGTTTTAAATTGGTCCTTGCTGGATACCGGTTTCAAAAAGTTGCGATTTCAATGATTGGATTCACTGGTTTCGTGTGGACGGAAGACCTCGTGGTCGGCAGGCGTATTTTGCAGTGCAGAAGATTTGGACGTTGGACTGACAGAGAGTTGGAGCGAGTCAAAACAAACCTCCAAGGGAGAGGTTGATCCTTAATTTTCCAGTTTCTTTTATGATGGCGGCCGCGATCAATGTACCTCTAGGTCGCGCCCAAAAAAACAAAAACAAACGCCGGTATAGAGCGTGGGAGCCAGGTTGACAAAAGAGAAAAGATAAGATAAGAAAACAAGTCTAAAAACACGACAAGACGTTACTTTTCCTTTCGTCGGTCTCGGGCTCTGTGCTCGTCTCTTGCGTTTCGTGTTCGAGTGCGTCTTTCTTCTCGCTCGGCTGAGTAAGGGTTGATTTGTACTGTCGTGTAATTTTTTCATGTATCTTTGGTGATGCAGCATTGTTTCTAAATAAAGATTGCAGCTTTTTATTTGGAGATATTTTCATTGTGCCTTTCTTGGGTTCTGCCTTGGGATATTTGATAGCAATGTGCAGCCCGGGGTGGGGAAATTTGGTTGCATTTGACTGGAATGATTTTCCCTGGACAGGGAATTTGACGGCAATTTTTTAAAAGATGTCAAATACCCACCCCATGCCATGTCCCCCTCCCACCCCCCCGCCGGCTTTACATTGATAGGTGCATAACGTTTACCACACAAACTTACGAGTCGGCTCCCGCTTTTGGTCCATTATTTTAACTACGGTGCTGGCTGGATCTTAGCTAAAAATGGGAAATGCGAGTAAATGTCTGCAAATGCGTCGACAATAACAACAGTCGGGCGTAAGACTACCTGGCGTATAGGGGTGTTCTCGAAAGTTTCCGATGAGCACCCCCGTCACGTGCACCTTTATAGGGGAGTACCACCCCCCCCTTCCCCCGGGGAATCTTGCTTATCAAAAAGACGTTTTTATCTTTTATCTGGCTGATATTTCTTACGCTTGTCATCAAGACCTTCGCCGATAACTGGCTACCAACCTTATTTTTCCCTAGCTATCGCTTTGGGGGTAGCTGTCAAGGGACACTCTATTGTTCTCGAGATATATCCAAGCCCTAGACGATAAAATTTCCCCGAGGTAAGTTACCTAGCGGAAAATCGGTCACACTTAAAAAGTTTCCCAAGGTAAACTGTACACAAGTCGAGTTTACCCAGGTAAAAAGTCTGTAGTGTGACCACAGCTAGGAATGATCTGACAGCTCATTCGACGGGGAGCCACAGGGGAATTGGAGGTGCAATTCAAATTCCAGAGACGTAATTACAATCACTCCTTACTTTTCTCACCCCGCCGCCAGAGAGCCCCGGAGGGCTTGCTCGCAGGCTACTATTAAGTCTATGGAAGTCATTATTGTTGCAAATTCCTGATAATATTTACGTTACTATGTTTGATACCATTAAATAATAAATTTAAACTTACTCTTGCTTCTCACTTAGGGCTTAATTTTAAAGTAGTCACTTGGATTATTAATATTTGAGGGGAGGACTGGGTGATATGATTTTAATTCTAGGGGGCTGGGTTGGGGTATATTTTACTGATGTTGCTACACCTTTTCAGAATTAACGTCACAATTTGCTAATCACGAGTTAACGATGAATTATATATTTGCTCAACAGCGACTGTTAAGAGCGATCATATATGGATCGGGAACTGCTCCACTCGCTCATGTACATTTTAACTTTCTGGAATGGCTAGTTGTAAAGAAGGTAGGAAATAGACTAGACTTGCTACCAGTCGACCTAGTTCTTATCCCGACCGAAAAAAAAGCGTGCGAAGCGAGCGTCATCAAGGTCGCTCAGCGACTGAGCAAGCGACGAATTCGCGAGGTTATCAGGACATCTTGACCTGTGAATTTTTCCACCGGTAAATTTCGCGCCAAACAGGTAAGAAAAGTCCTTTAAAAAGGTATAACCAACCAGGAAAAAAAATTTAAAGGACTTTTAATTAGAAAGTCTAGAAATAGACTTAAGGTGAAAGTACCTAGTTTTCTGGAAAAATACACTTGTGAGCTTAAAACAGCCAAATCTGCACATAAAATGACAAATCGGGTGAAAAAAAATCAGAGCATTTGCCATTAACTCATGCATTCTCACTAACAGCCTACGCGGTCCCTGGGATCGCTTGTGACGTCATCAGTTTGAACAGTCGTAGACAATTTTGATATCTACGGCTCCTGATATCTATTATGTCTATTATTAAGACCAATTAAACTTGTGCAGGCCAGGGAAGAGATATTTCAAACAATATCCGCCGCTTCTCCGGATGAGCACAATTCAGTCAAATAGATAGGAGAAAAATGCAAAAAATCACGTAAAGTTGACACAAAAACTGTAATAAATTTGAAAAATGTCTTATTGCACTAACCACCTTGCATCTTAAATCCCACGATCCTATTCCCCTCAGAAATGAGGCCTAGAAATGTCCAGCAAAGGGAAAAACCTGGGCAAGAAAAGCGGAAGAAGGAAGAAGAGAGAAAGCACGAAATGAAATTTGGCCTTCTGCCCATGCCCAAAATTCAGAACCAGATGTTTGCCAGAAACAAAGGTCTGGAGCAATGCTCTTTCAGAAAATTTTGAAATGAATGCAGCGGCATGGAGATACCAATTTGTACATAGATATGCTGTCCAAAGTAACGTTAGTCAGTCAAAGTTTAAAAGGATAGGTTCTTTTGATTTAGAGTGTGAGGTTTTGCAAATTATTTATTCATCAATCTGACCAAAATCGCGCTCTAGGATGTCCCCAAATGGATTTCCCTCTAAAATATCGTCATCAGTCAATTGCAGTCTTCAAGGTTAATTACGGCATCGAATCGACGATATAAATACTCACTCAGGAAACCCAGTTAAAACGAAGCGGGTTCGGACCTTTGCGCAAGTTATGTTTCATTTGCTAAACGACCTCAGATTCCAGTATGTATTCCGTCCCACGTTGAATGAGGAAACGAGGAGTATTCCTACTACGCCACTTAGGCGATCCTCATTCATTGTAGAACGGTTCCAGAATATGAGCTTACGTTCGATATATTAAAATTCTAACATAACTCCGTAGCTTTCTGGTCATTTTAGTTCTATCTTTGGTTTTGTTTTCTTTGTGCTCAAGTCTCTTCTGAGAATTACAAGACAATGGAGTCGTGAAAAATTTGCAATTTTGACCCTAAAGCCTTGGAGTCATGTTAGAATTTTAATATACTGAACGTGGGCTATTTGAGACGCCTCAGGGCAGAAAAAGAGCATTCACAAATATTTAATACTTCCCACGGGTGTAGTAAGAAAAATGATAACGATCTTGTGAATGGCTAGAAATGTCTGAGGATACCCGAGAGTACCGACCAATCGCTAATCTTCTCACTGTTTCGCTAAGTATTAATCACGTTTCAACCTACCACATACGTGAGACACTTTTCTATTAGAACGTTCAGCATGAAATTTGCCCCCAAAAATTTAATTTAAAAGAATATGCTATAAACATACACAAGGCTCAGAAGAACAATTTTTTTTCAGTGCTTTTACTTTCCTAAATCCAGAGAATCTGAATTACCATACAATGTTCTGCATGAAGAGCGCAGGTAAAATTTTGTTCTTAATTTCTACACATGTACATTGTACTCGTACAATTTATTAATATAAAAACTATAATCATTATCTTATCTTGCTGCCATACTGTATGTCTATATGTCATTTTTCCGTTATTGAAATTTAAGAACACCCGTAAGAACATTTCTAGGCTGAAACTGCCCAGAAAATAAGAACGGTCCGGGTTTAACTCGAAAAATGGGCGTTCTTATAAAAAAAAGTGTGCCAGGAAGAAAAACACTATTTACTACTTTTTTTTCCACGAATGCCAAGTTAAGGCATCAGGACATTAGTTACTCGGTATTAAAAGGTTTTAATTAATTCTTTAGCTCTTTAAAATTGTGAAAAAACTTTTCGTAAAAACATTCAAGAAATTGTTAAAAAAGTTAAAAAGTATACGACGTTTCGACATTCTCGGACGTCATCATCAAGTAAAAAAAAATACAGTGTGAATGTTCTATAAATACAAGAAAAACAACAGTTTATTAAAAAGAAAAGTAACATATAGGAATATGCTGTTAAGGCTGGGCCTCACACTATCTAGTAAGCTTTTTGTTCCACTTCCTCTCTTAAAGTTGCGTAATCCAAATCACCCCCATCATTTGCTTGGAATTCCAGTGATAAACCAGTGAAGGACTTTTTGATGGTGTCTTTCGAAGATGCGTATATCATTTTGTCTCCAATCTTTGCATTTTCGTCACACCTAAAGCGAAAACGGGAAATGAGATGAAACGGGCTGGCTCGGCTCATGCCTTGTTTCCTTATAAAGTTGTTACTGTGTTGTATGAGAAGGCAGGCTGCCCCGTTTGCCGAGATCATGGTTGCTTGATGAGGAAGATCTTAGCAAGGGGGCCAGCCGGCTTTCTCATATAAACACAACAACAATTTTAAAGGAAACAAGGCATGAGCCGAGCCAGCATGGTAAAGCAGGCCAGGCTGGCTCACCTCATATAAACAGTCCCTAAGTAGAAATGAGAACCGGGTAATAAGGGTGTACTCCATCATACAAACTAAAGGTAAAGAAATGTACCCAACACCTTTTTGAATTTAATAATCTCTTGATGAATGCATACATCAATTCAGGGAGCAAGGGTGGCACTATGGTGAGAGCACTCACCTCCCACCAGTGTGGTCCAGGTTTAAATCCCGGCTTCGACTCCGTATGTTGGTTGGTTTAGTCGCTGTTTCTCTCCCTTGCACGGAGAAGTTTTTTTTTCGGGTTCTCAGGTATTTTTTCCTCCAACAATCTAGTTTTCACTAGGTCGTAAGCGATGGATTCATAAGCAGAGTCAGAATAAAATAGAAATGTTCTGGTTATTCTGACTCCAGTTCTGCAGCCTACGTGTCAGGTGTTCGAAAGGGGAGGGGCACGGGAATTTTAGGGGGGTGGGGAGGAGGGGAACGCCCTCAAGAGCGACATTATCGTCACCATCCCGCCTACTTATTACGTATGCATGCAAAAACGACGCAACTGTAAACGTCTAACCATCTGTTACTGTTAGTTAAGGTATTCATTATTTTTACATCTCTCTGGTAGATGTGAAAATGGAAAAGACCATAGCGTCCTTACAGGCGTTCCTTACACTCCTCCTCGCGCGCCTTTCTGCCACGCAGACAACCAATTCTGTGGAATTCCCATAAGTCGACTGCGTGAGCGCCGAAGGCACGAGGAACGCTGGCGAAGCGAACGACAGCGAACGACGAAGTATTCTGTTGCACTTATAACTCCGCTTACGATTCAGAGTTTTGATTTTCGCTAGGTTAATAACTTATTTTGAAAATAAAATGTTCTTACAACTCTGACTCTGTTTAGCAAGTAAAATCCAGCCTAAAATGTCGTGAGGCTAAAGGAAGATTTTATGCCCGGTCACTGATTAAAAATGCAGAGACAACCTCACTCACCAAAAGATGAATGCCAACTTATTAACTTTCCTGCCATCCTTCTTCATAAATCCAAAATCATACAAAATATATCGTGGTTCTTTGCTGAGTTGCTCCTTCATGTTATTAAACTGTGCCTCATCTTCTTCTTTTGCCTCTGTTTTGCATGGATCACCACACACGTCAACAACAATTTTCTTCTTTCCTTCAATTTTAAAGAATGCAAACTTGTGTGTGCTTCTCAACCTCATATCATTAAACAAACCGTTGATTTCAGCATCGAGTTGTACCCCTGACATAGACTGTATCAAGAGAACATAAAGAATAAAATTAATAATCTAAAAAACCTTATTAAGTTATTAAAACTGCTATTAAGTCAAAAACTGGTCAGGCTTGTAAAATTGCTTATTTGAAATGTACTCTCAAACNATTCTGTTGCACTTATAACTCCGCTTACGATTCAGAGTTTTGATTTTCGCTAGGTTAATAACTTATTTTGAAAATAAAATGTTCTTACAACTCTGACTCTGTTTAGCAAGTAAAATCCAGCCTAAAATGTCGTGAGGCTAAAGGAAGATTTTATGCCCGGTCACTGATTAAAAATGCAGAGACAACCTCACTCACCAAAAGATGAATGCCAACTTATTAACTTTCCTGCCATCCTTCTTCATAAATCCAAAATCATACAAAATATATCGTGGTTCTTTGCTGAGTTGCTCCTTCATGTTATTAAACTGTGCCTCATCTTCTTCTTTTGCCTCTGTTTTGCATGGATCACCACACACGTCAACAACAATTTTCTTCTTTCCTTCAATTTTAAAGAATGCAAACTTGTGTGTGCTTCTCAACCTCATATCATTAAACAAACCGTTGATTTCAGCATCGAGTTGTACCCCTGACATAGACTGTATCAAGAGAACATAAAGAATAAAATTAATAATCTAAAAAACCTTATTAAGTTATTAAAACTGCTATTAAGTCAAAAACTGGTCAGGCTTGTAAAATTGCTTATTTGAAATGTACTCTCAAACTGAACACAAATTCCAAAAATGAAGCATTTTTGTTCAATTGAAATGGAGGAAATTAAAACCAAAGTTGGTATCTAGAGAGCTAATTTTGAAATCTGATTGATTTTCTAATAAGCGACGGGAAATAACAACGAAATTTGCAAACATTCTGCTTCCTCAAATAAAAAACGACTGCTTTCATCATTCCTAATCACTCCCATGACTGAAAAAAGCCTGGCCGAGGATGTCAGTTAGGTTCGCTCTTTAGTGAACAACGACCTCTTTCTGCTATTTTGTCGGGCATTTATAAAATTAAGAGTTAACAACGGCCATATGCAATTTCAGCAAAGTACTGTAACTACTTACCATTGTGATATTTGATCGTGACTTTAATTTTCAAAACACCTTGAAAACAAAATAGTCATTGTAAAAATTAGTTGGGTTCCAGCAAACAAATCTGCAGATAGATGTTTAAAATAAACTTTGTAGTGAAAAGGTGTACATCGCGAATAGCACTTCTTTAAATACTTAATCAATTGTAGCAAATTTTTACAACTTGAGTTTGCGCTCCTGATGTGATAATTAAGTGTTTGGATTCCAAAAAACTTAGAACAAATTTTTGTTCCGCTCCTTACCAGTAACTTGTTTCTTGACAGCTTGTAGCTCTTCCAACTCTATGGCTTGATAAAAACTTTGACCAAATCACCCCCATCATTTGCTTGGAATTCCAGTGATAAACCAGTGAAGGACTTTTTGATGGTGTCTTTCGAAGATGCGTATATCATTTTGTCTCCAATCTTTGCATTTTCGTCACACCTAAAGCGAAAACGGGAAATGAGATGAAACGGGCTGGCTCGGCTCATGCCTTGTTTCCTTATAAAGTTGTTACTGTGTTGTATGAGAAGGCAGGCTGCCCCGTTTGCCGAGATCATGGTTGCTTGATGAGGAAGATCTTAGCAAGGGGGCCAGCCGGCTTTCTCATATAAACACAACAACAATTTTAAAGGAAACAAGGCATGAGCCGAGCCAGCATGGTAAAGCAGGCCAGGCTGGCTCACCTCATATAAACAGTCCCTAAGTAGAAATGAGAACCGGGTAATAAGGGTGTACTCCATCATACAAACTAAAGGTAAAGAAATGTACCCAACACCTTTTTGAATTTAATAATCTCTTGATGAATGCATACATCAATTCAGGGAGCAAGGGTGGCACTATGGTGAGAGCACTCACCTCCCACCAGTGTGGTCCAGGTTTAAATCCCGGCTTCGACTCCGTATGTTGGTTGGTTTAGTCGCTGTTTCTCTCCCTTGCACGGAGAAGTTTTTTTTTCGGGTTCTCAGGTATTTTTTCCTCCAACAATCTAGTTTTCACTAGGTCGTAAGCGATGGATTCATAAGCAGAGTCAGAATAAAATAGAAATGTTCTGGTTATTCTGACTCCAGTTCTGCAGCCTACGTGTCAGGTGTTCGAAAGGGGAGGGGCACGGGAATTTTAGGGGGGTGGGGAGGAGGGGAACGCCCTCAAGAGCGACATTATCGTCACCATCCCGCCTACTTATTACGTATGCATGCAAAAACGACGCAACTGTAAACGTCTAACCATCTGTTACTGTTAGTTAAGGTATTCATTATTTTTACATCTCTCTGGTAGATGTGAAAATGGAAAAGACCATAGCGTCCTTACAGGCGTTCCTTACACTCCTCCTCGCGCGCCTTTCTGCCACGCAGACAACCAATTCTGTGGAATTCCCATAAGTCGACTGCGTGAGCGCCGAAGGCACGAGGAACGCTGGCGAAGCGAACGACAGCGAACGACGAAGTATTCTGTTGCACTTATAACTCCGCTTACGATTCAGAGTTTTGATTTTCGCTAGGTTAATAACTTATTTTGAAAATAAAATGTTCTTACAACTCTGACTCTGTTTAGCAAGTAAAATCCAGCC